AGCTGGGACCACAGGAACGTGCCACTACACCCAGCTAATTTTTGGGGTTTTTTTTGGTAAAAACGGGTCTCGCTATGTTGCCCAGGCTGGTCTCAAACTCTTAGCCTCAAGCAATTCTACTGCCTTTCAGCTTCCCAAAGTATTGAGATTACAGGCTTGAGCCACTGCACCTGCCCTACTTCAATCTCATAAAGTAGCAATGTGGGTCCATAATAAAATGAGTGGACCTGGGGCACTCATGCCATGAAGTGAGGGACTGAGCACCAGGTAGTACTTTCCCTGCAGAAGTTCAAATGGTTACTAAACATTGCTCTATTTACCAACAGAAAAGATTATGTTTGCAGTTAGCTCTGGGAGTATTTCCTGGGGAGGAAGTCCAGCCCACAGCTGGCAAGTAGATGATACTGGCCCTTTACCCATTTTTCCAAGAAAAATTAAATGGATATTGACAGGTCTGCATACATACTGTGAATTTGGCTTTGCTTTCATTATTATTATTATTTTTTAGTTTTTACAGGCAGGGTGTCACCTGTTGCCCAGGCTGGAGTACAGAGGTGCAATCACAGCTTACTGCAGCCTCAACTTGAGAGGCTCAGGCGATCCTCCCACTTCAGCCTCCTGAGTAGCTGGCACTACAGGTGCATGCCACCAAGTCTGGCTAAGTTTTTAAATTTTTTTGTAGAAATGGGGTCTCACTATGTTGCCCAGACTGGTCTCAAATTCCTGGGCTCAAGTGATCTTCCTGCCTCAGCTTCCCAAAGTGCTGGGATTACAGGCATGAGTGATCATACCTGGTCTGTTTGGCTTTGAACAGTCATATTGGTTTGTTTGGCACTCTCAGTGACATTTTCTCAGATCAAGACACTCACTCCACAGGCCATGCCAAACAAGATCGAGCAAAGAATCAGCACATTCAATGGATTTATCACATTCTTTATCACTCGTGAAGTCTCAGGTTAACAGAAAATTAAAATGGGCAATTAAAACACTATCACGTCTGTAATCCCAGCACTTTGGGAGGCCGAGGTCAGGAGATCGAGACCATCCTGGCCAACATGGTGAAACTCCGTCTCTACTAAAAATACGAAAATTAGCTGGGCATGGTGGTGCGTGCTTGTAATCCCAGCTACTTGGGAGGCAGAGGCAGGAGAATTGCTTGAACCAGGCTGTGGCAGGCAGATCGCTTGAGGCCAGGAGTTCCACATGAGCCTGAGCAATCTAGTGAGACCCCATATCTATAGATAATTTAAAAATGAGCCAAAAGTCGTTCATAGTGGTTAAGTAGCTGTAGTCCCAGCTACTCAGGAGGCTGAAGTGGGAGGATCATTTGAACCCAGGATTGAAGGCTAGAGTGAGCTAGGATTATGTCACTGCACTCCAGCCTGGGCAACAGAGGGAAACCTTGTCTTGAAAATAAAAAAATAAATGAGGAGACGTGACAAAGGAGTGACACTCAGCCTACAACCACCCGACATTTTGTTTAGAGAGGGACTAAGTGTAGGACTCTTTGGACAAATTATTATGCTTTTGTGGTGGGAACTGGGGAAGGGAGGAGGGGTGTGATGGTTAATAGTGAGTGTCAACTTGATTGAAGGATGCAAAGTATTGTTCTTGGGTGTGTCTGTGAGGGTGCTGTCAAAGGAGATTAACATTTGAATCAGTGGACTGGGAGAGGCAGACCCACTCTCAATCCAGCTGGGCACCATCTAATCAGCTGCCAGCGAGGCCAGAATAACAAGCAGGCAGAAGAATGTGAAGAGATTAGACTGGCTTAGCCTCCAAGCCTACATCTTTCTCCTGTGCTGGGTGGTTCCTGCCTTCAAACATCAGACTCTTTTGGAACTCAAACTGGCTTCCTTGCTCCTCAGCTTGCAGATGGCCTATGATGGGACTTTGAGATTGTGTGAGTTAATACTCCTTAATAAACTCATATACATATACACACACACACACACACACACACATATATATATATATATATTCTATTAATTCTGTCATTTTAGAGGACCCTAATACAGATTTTGGTACCAGAAGTGGGGTCCAGAACAGGAGAAGGCTTTGCAACAGGTCCAGGCTGCTGTGCAAGCTGCTCTGACACTTGGGCCATATGACCCAGCGGATCCAATGGTGCTTGAGGTGTCAGTGGCAGATGGGGATGGTGTTATAGTCCTCTAGGATTTTAAAGCAACGCCCTGCCACCTTCTGCAGATAACCACTCTCCTTTTCAGAGACAGCTCTTCGCCTGTTACTGGGCTTTGGTGGAAACTGAACATTTGACTATGGGTCATCAAGTCACCATGCAACCTTAACTACCTGTCATGAACTGGGTGTTTTCTGACCCACCTAGCCATAAAGTGGGTCATGCACAGCAGCATTCCATTATCAGATGGAAGTGATATATATGTGATCGGGCTCCAGCACTTCCTGAAGGCATAAGTAAGTTACATGAGGAAGTGGCTCAAATGCTCATGGTCTCCACTCCTGCCACCCTGCCTTCTCTTCCCCAGCCTGCACCAATGGCCTCATGGGGAGTTCCCTATGATCAGTGGACAGAGGAAGAGAAGACTAGGGGCTGGTTCACAGGTGGTTCTGCACGATATGCGGGCACCACCCAAAAGTGGACAGCTGCAGCACTATAGCCCCCTTCTGGGACACCCCTATGGACAGCAGTGAAGAAACACCTTTCCAGTCGGCAGAACTCCAAGCAGTGCACCTGGCTGTGCACTTTGCATGGAAGGAGAAATGGCCAGGTGTGCAATTATTTACTGATTCATGGGCTGTAGCCAATGGTTTGGCTTGATGGCCAGGGACTTGGAAGAAGCATGATTGGAAAACTAGTGACAAAGAAATTTGGGTAAGTATGTGGATGGACCTCTCTGAGTGGTCAAAAACTGTGAAGATACTTACTGTGAAGATATCTGTATCTCATGTGAGTGCTCACCAAAGGGTGACCTCAGCAGAGGAGGATTTTAATAATCAAGTGGATAGGGTGACTCATTCTGTAGACACCACTCAGCCTCTTTCCCCAGCCACCTCTGCCACCGCCCAATGGGCCCATAAACAAAGTGGCCATGGTGGCAGGGATGGACTTTCTCAGCAACATGGACTTTCACTCACCAAGGCAGACCTGGCTACAGCCACTGCTGAGTGCCCAATTTGCCAGCAGCAGTGCCCAACACTAAGCCCTTGACATGGCATCATTCCTTGGGTGATCACCCATCTACTTGGTGGCAGGTTGATTATACTGGACCTCTTCCATCATAGAAAGGGCAGAGGTTTGTCCTCCCTGGAATAAACACTCCAGATTTGAGTTTGCCTATTCTACAGACAATGCTTCTGCTAAAACTACCATCTGTGGATTCACGGAATGCCTTATCCACCGTCATGGTATTCCACACAGCACTGCCTCTGACCAAGGCACTCACTTTACGGCTAAAGAAGTGTGACCGTGGGCTTATGCTCTTGGAATTCACTGATCCTACCATGCTCCCCATCATCCTGAAGCAGTTGGATAGAAAGATGGAATGGCCTTTTGAAGTCACAATTACAATGCCAACTAGGTGATAATACCCTGCAGGGCTGGGGCAAAATTCTCCAGAAGGCCATGTCTGCTCGGAATCAGCATCCAATATATGGTACTGTTTATCCCATAGCCAGGATTCACGGGTCCAGGAATCAAGGGGTGGAAGTGGAAGTGGCATCACTCACCATCACCCCTAGTGATCCACTAGAAAATTTTGGCTTCCTGTTCCCACAACATTACATTCTGCTGGCTTAGAGGTCTTAGTTCCAGAGGGAAGAATGCTGCCACCACTTTGGAGTCCTGCCACCTTTAAGTCAACAGGCTAAGAAGGGAGTTACAACCTTCTGGGATGATTCACTGGGACTATTAAGATGAAATCAGTCTACTACTCCACAATGGAGGTAAGGAAGAGTATGTGTGGAACACAGGAGATCCTTTAGGGTGTCTCTTAATATTACCATGCCCTGTGATTAAGGTCAATGGGAAACTATAACAGCCCAACCCAGGCAGGACTACAAATGGCCCAGACCCTTCAGGAATGAAGGCTTGGGTCACTCCAGGAAAAAACCTGCTGAGATGCTTGCTGAAGGCAAAAAGAATACAGAATGGGTAGTAGAAGAAGGTAGTCATCAATACCAGCTATGACCATGTGACCAGTTGCAGAAACAAGGACTATAATTGTCATGAGTATTTCCTCCTTCTTTTGTTAACAACATGTTTGTGCACATATATGATTGTACTAAGAATATATCTTCATTTTATTTCCTTTCTCCTTTATCGTATGAATAAAATTTATTGACTTCATATAAGCATTTAAGTGTTAGCTTTATATAACAGCATTTGGGTTGAGGATTGGTGCGTTTCCAGTTGTATGAAGGATACTTGCATTATGTTAGGCATAATTATGACATTGTCTTTATTTGAAGATTATGTATAATCTCAGAAGCTGTGTATGGGTTAAAGTTGACAAGGGCTGAACTTGTGATGGTTAATACTGTCAACTTGATTGAAGGATGCAAAGTATTGTTCCTGGGTGTGTGTGTGAGGCTGTTGCCAGAGGAGATTAACCTTTGAGTCACGGGGCTGGAAAAGGCAGACCCACCCTTAAACTTAATAAATAAAATGAGGCAGAGGAACATAAAGAGTTTAGACTGGCTTAGCCTCCGAGCCTACATCTTTCTCCCATGCTTGACGGTTCCTGCCCTAGAACATCAGACTCCAAGTTCTTCAGCTTTGGGACTCAGAATGGCTTCCTTGCTCCTTAGCTTGCAGACAGCCTATTGTGGAACCTTGTGATCCTGTGAGTTAATACTCCTTGAGAAACTCCCTTGTGTATATACATCCATCCTAATAGTTCTGCTCCTTTAGAGAACTGTCACTAATACAAGGGGTGACAATAGAGGAAATTACATGTTAGACTTTTATACTTTACCTCAATTTTCATTACTTTTTGCAGAAAAAAGATTTCACATAAAAATCACATAATAATAATTTATTCCAATTTATTAAGGCAGGAACTGGACCTAAAGAGGGCGCTGAGAGGCTGGAGATGGGCTTGGGAGAGGTCAACTGAAGGAAAATTTGGGCCTAAGGAGACTGCAGGAGGCAAGAGCTGGGCAAAAACAGGTTGTTGTGAGGCAGGAGTTGGGTCTTTATAAAAGGGCCAATGTAAGGCAGAAGCAGGGCCTGCAGAGTCCACTAGCAGGCAAGACCAGGGCACGGAGAGGCTGACTTGAGGCAGAAAGTTGCCCTCGGGAGGCCACCATAAGGCAGGAGTTGGTTCTTGAAAGGTGGCAAGAGCTCGGCCTGTAGTGGTTGCTAAAAGGCAGGAACTTGGTCTGAAAGGCCGTGGTAAGGCAAGAGCTGGGCCAAAAGAGGCCACTGGGAAGCAGAAGCTGGGCCTCAGGGGGCCACTGTAAAACAGGAGCTGGGACTTGGAAGGCAGACGTGAAGCAAAAGCTGGCTCTTGGAAGGCTGACGAGAGGCAGAAGCTGGGCCTGGTGAGGTGGACTTGAGAAAGTCTGGGGCCTGGAGAGATCCCTGGGAGGCAGGAGCTAAACTTGTAGAGGCTGCCGGAAGGCAGGAGCTGGGCCTGGTGAGGTCAACATGAAGAAGTTCTAGGCCTGGAAAGGCCACTGGGAGAAAGGGGCTGGGGGTAAAGAGGCTGTTGTAAGGCTTGAGCTAGGCCTGCAGAGGGTGCCAGGAGGCAAGAGCTGGGCCTGGAGATGCCAAATTGAGGAAGTTTTAGGCCTGCAGAGGCTGTAAAAAGAAAGGAGCAAAGCCTGGAGAGACTGGTGAAAGGCAGGAGGTAGGGCTAAAGAGGCCATTGGCAGGCAAAAGCTAGGCCTCTGAAGGCTGCAAGGCTGCTGGGCCTGGTGAGGTTGACTTAAGGACGTTTTGGTCCTGGAGAGGCCAATGGGAGGAAGGAGCTGGGCCTAAAAAGGCCATTGAAAGGATGAAGCCAGGCCTGTAGAGGCCACCAGAAGGCAGGAGCTGGGCCTGAGAAGAACAAATTAAGAAACTTTTAGGCCTGTAAGGGCCCCAAAGAGGCAGGAGCTAGGCATGCAGGGAGAGGCAGCTGTGAGGCAGAAGCTGGGCCACTAGAGGTTGCCAAGAGGCAGCAGCATGGCTTGAAGAGGTCCCAGTAAGGATGAGCTGAGTCTAAAGTGGTCACTGTTAGGAAGAAGCTGAGATCCTAGAGGACACTCAGAGGCACAAGCTGGGCCTGGAGAGCTTGACTGGAAAAAACTATGGGCTTAAAAAGGGCACCAAGGAAGAAGCTGGGCCTGGAGTGGCCAGAGGAAGACAGAAGGTGGGACATGGGAAGCCGCCGTTAAACAGGAGCTGGAAGGCCGCCGTGAGGCAAAAGCGGAGCCATTAAAGGCCTACCAGACACAGGAGCTAGGCCTGGTGAGACTGACATGAGAAAGTTCTTGGTCTGGAGAGACAACTGAAAGGCAAGAGCAGGGCCTAAATAGTACATTGGAAAAATGGAGTTGGACCTCTAGAAACTGATGAAAAGCATGAACAGGGATTGGAGACGCTGTAAAGAGGAAGGTACAAAAATGGCCTGGGAAGGCCAATGTGAGGCAAGAGCTGGGCCTGGGGGGTCCACTGGGAGGAGGCAGAGGCCATGCCTCCAGGGGCCTACGACAGGCAGGAGCTGGGCCTGGCGAGGCCGACTTCAGGATGCTTTGGGCCTGCATAGGCCAGTGGCGGGAGGCAGGAGCTGGGCCTGGAGGGGCTGACTTGAGAAAGCCTTGGGCCGGGAGACGCTGTCGGGATGGGCGGGAGCTGGGCCTGCAGAGGCCAGGATCCGAGCTTGTTGAGGCTGCCAGGAGGCCGGCAGGAACGTGGCCGGGGAAGGCCGCCGTGAGGCAAGAGCTGGGCCTGGGAAGGCTGCTGTGAGGCAAGAGCTGGGCCTGGAGGAGGTTTTGGGCCTACGAAGGCTGCCAGGAGCTGGACAGGAGCCGAGTCAAAAGAGGCTGTTTGGAGACAGGGACTGGGCCTGCGAGGGAGAGCTGGGCCTGGAGAGGAGGCTGAGAGGCAGCCACTGGGCCGCGGGAAGCCGAGTTGGGCCTGCAGAGGCCACCACAGGGAAAAAGCTAGGCCTAAAGAGACCGTTGCGAGGGACAAGCTGGGCCTTAAGAGGCCATTGGGACACAGGAGCCGAGCCTGCGGAGGCCGCTGAAGGGCAGGAGCCTGGCCTGCAGAGGGCCACGGTGAGGCACAAGATGAGCCTAAAGAGGCCATCAGGAGAAAGGAGTTGGGTCTGTCAAGGCTGCCGCCAGGCAGGCGGAAACGTGGCCAGGGGAGGCTGACATGAGGCAAGAGCTTGGCCTGGAGAAGCCATTGTCAAGCAGGAGCTGGGCCTCTCCAGGCCACTGGGGAGCTGAAGATGGGGCCTGGAAGGCCTGACTTAGAGGAGCCTGGGGCCTACAAAGGTTGCCAGGAGCTGGGCAGGAGCTGGGCCGAATGTGGTTGTTGTGAGGCAGAAGCTGGGCCGGCAGACGCAGCCGGGAGGGAGAGCTGGGCCTGGAGAGGCTGGCTGGAAACCGTTCTGGGCCTGGAGAGGATGCCGAGAGGCAAGAGCTGGGACCGTGGAGGCTGCCAAGAGGCAGGAGCTTGGCCTGAGGTGGTCACGCTGAGGCAAGAGCTGAGCCTGGGGGGCGTCCACTGGGAGAAGGCAGAGGCCATGCCTCCAGGAGCCAACAATAGGCAGGAGCTGGGCCTGGCGAGACCGACTTCAGGACACTTTGGGCCTGCACAGGCCATCAGTGGGAGGCAGGAGCTGGGCCTGCAGGTGCTGACTTAAGAAAGTCTTGGGCCAGGAGACGCCATCGGGGTGGGCTCGAGCTGGGCCTGGAGAAGTCACCGTGAGGCATGAGCTGGGCCTAGAGGCCAGTGTGAGGCAGAAGCCGGGCTTGTTGAGGCTGCTGGGAGGCCGGCAGAAACATGGCTGGGGAAGGCCGCTGTGAGGCAAGATCTGGGCCTGGGAAGGCCACTGCAAGGCAAGAGCTGGGCCTGGAGATCTGGACCAGAGAAGGTTTCAGGCCTACCAAGGCTGCCAGGAGCTGGGCAGGAGCTGAGTCAAGAGGCTGTTTGGAGACAGAGGCTGGGCCTGTAGGTGGAGCCGTGAGAGAGCTGGGCCTCTAGAGGAGGCTGGGAGGCAGCCACTGGGCCACGGGAGGCCGACTTGGGCCTGGAGAGGCCGCCACAGGGGAAAAGTTGGGCCTAAAGAGACTGTTGTGAGGGACGAGCTGGGCCTTAAGAGGCCATCGGGACACAGGAGCCGGACCTGCGGAGGCCGCCAAAGGGGAGGAGCCTGTCCTGCAGGAGCCCACGGTGAGGCATGAGATGAACCTAAAGAGGCCATCAGGAGGCAGGAGCTGGGCTTGTCGAGGCTGCCGCCAGGCAGGGGGAAACATGGCCTGGGGAGGCCGATGCGAGGCAAGAGCTGGGCCTGGAGAGGCTGTTGTCAGGCAGGAGCTGGGCCTCTCTAGGCCGCCAGGGAGCCAAAGGTGGGGCCTGGAAGGCCTGACTTAGAGGAGCCTGGGGCCTACAAAGACTGCCAGGAGCTGGGCAGGAGCTGGGCTGAGCGTGGTTGTCGTGAGGCAGGAGCTGGGCCAGCAGACGCAGCCAGGAGGGAGAGCTGGGCTGGGAGAGGCTGGCTGGAAACCGTTCTGGGCCTGGAGAGGATGCCAAGAGGCAAGAACTGGGCCCGTGGAGGCTGCCAAGAGGCAGTTGCTTGGCCTGAGGTGGCCACGCTGAGGCAAGAGCTGGGGCTGGTGGGTCCACTGGGAGGAGTCAAAGGCTGTGCCTCCAGGGGCCAACGACAGGCAAGAGCTGGGCCTTGTGGGGCTGGTTTGAGAAAGCCTTGGGCCAGGAGCCGCCATCGGGGTGGGCGGAAGCTGGGCCTGGAGAGGCCAGTGTGAGGCAGGAGCCGGGCTTGTTGAGGCTACCAGGAGGCCGGCAGGAACGTGGCCGGGGAAGGCCACCACGAGGCAAGAGCTGGGCCTGGGGGTGGTCCACTGGGAGGAGGCAGAGGCCGTGGCTCCAGGGGCCTACTACGACAGGCAGGAACTGCACCTGGCGAGGCTGACTTCAGGACACTTTGGGCCTACACAGGCCATTGGCGGGAGGCAGGAGCTGGACCTGGAGGGTCCAACTTGAGAAAGCGTTGGGCTGGGAGATGCCGTCAGGGTGGGCGGGAGCTGGGCCTGAGAGGCCGCTGTGAGGCATGAGCTGGGCCTAGAGAGGCCAGTGTGAGGCAGGAGAAGGGCTTGTTGAGGCTGCTGGGAGGCCAGCAGGAACGTGGCCAAAGAAAGCCACCATGAGGCAAGATCTGGGCCTGGGAAGGCTGCTGCGAGGCAAGCGCTGGGCCTGGAGATCTGCACCAGAGGAGGTTTTGGGCCTACGAAGGCTGCCAGGAGCTGGGCAGGAGCTAAGTCAAAAGAGGCTGGAGACAGAGGCTGGGCCTGTAGGTGCAGCCACAAGAGAGAGCTGGGCCTGGAGAGGAGGCCGGGAGGCAGCCACTGGGCCGCGGGAGGCCGATCTGGGCCTGGAGAGGCTGCCACAGGGGAAAAGCTGGGCCTAAAGAGACCGTTGCGAGGGACAAGCTGGGCCTAAAGAGGCCATCGGGATACAGGACCCAGGCTTGCAGAGGCCACTGAAGAGCAGGAGCCTGGCCTGCAGGAGGCCACAGTGAGGCATGAGATGAGCCTAAAGAGGCCATCGGGAGGCAAGATCTGGGTGTGTCAAGGCTGCCACCTGGCAGGCAGAAACATGGCCAGGGGAGGGTGACACAAAGCAAGAGCTTGGCCTGGAGAGGCCGTTGTCAGGTAGGAGCTGGGCCTCTCCAGGCTGCCGGGGAGCCGAAGGTGGGGCCTGGAAGGCCTGACTTACAGGAACCTGGGGCCTACAAAGGCTGCCAGAAGCTGGGAAGGAGGTGGGCCGAACGTGGTTGTTGTAAGGCAGGAGCTGGGCCGGCAGAACGCAGCCAGGAGGGAGAGCTGGGCTCAGAGAGGCCGGCTGAAAACAGTTCTGGGCCTGGAGGGGATGCCAAGAGGCAAGAGCTGGGCCCGTGGAGGCTGCCAACAGGCAGGAGCTTGGCCTGAGGTGGCCACACTGAGGCAAGAGCTGGGCCTGGGGGGTCCACTGGGAGGTGGCAGAGGCCGTGCCTCCAGGGGCCGACGACAGGCAGGAGCTGGGACTGGCGAGGCCAACTTCAAGATGCTTTGGGCCTGCACAGGCCATCGGCGGGAGGCAGGAGCTGGGCCTGGAGGGGCCGACTTGAGAAAGCCTTGGTCCAGGAGACGCCGTTGGGGTGGGCAGGAGCTGGGTCTGGAGAGGCCACTGTGAGGTAGGAGCCAGGCCTAGAGAGGCCAGTGTGAGGCAAGAGCTGGGCTTGTTGAGGCTGCCGGGAGCCTGGCAAGAACGTGGCTGGGGAAGGCGGCCGTGAGGCAAGAACTGGGCCTGGGAAGGCCGCTGCGAGGCAAGAGCTAGGCCTGGAGATCTAGACAGGAGGAGGTTTCGGGCCTACCAAGGCTGCCAGGAGCTGGGCAGGACCCGAGTCAAAAGAGGCTGTTTGGAGGCAGGAGCTGGGCCTGTAGGCGCAACCACGAGAGAGAGCTGGGCCTGGAGAGGAGGCCGGGAGGCTGTAGCTGGGCCGCGGGAGGCCGACTGGGCCTGAAGAGGCCACCAAAAGGGAAAAGCTGAGCCTAAAGAGGCCATTGTGAGAAATGAGCTGGGCCTAAATAGGCCATCAGGACGCAGAGCTGGGTCTCTGCTGCAGAGGTTGGCGAAAAGCAGGAGCCTGGCTTAGTGAGGTCGCGGTGAGGCATGAGATGAGCCTAAAGAGGTCACTGAAAGGTCGGACCTGGACCTGTCAGGACATGGCGCTCAGGTGGTTATGTGAGCCATGGAGAGGGGCTGTAAACACAAATGAAGTTTCCCCTCACTTGTCCGCTGCTCCTCTCCAGCTCTGTGGCCCTGTGGTGGAGACCCCTGCTCAGGTGCATTCGAAAGGATCCGTTCCATGCCATTCTTCAGAGTCATCTTACTGCTGCAGTGGTGAAGCATAGCATCCGTTAGCTTGCATGGCACATGCCTCGGCTGGCATTTCATCACAATCAAAAGTAAGTGGTAGCTTGAGTCACTGTGAGGTTACTTCCTGGAAATCACCAGCATCCCATGTCCCATTGGCAAGAAGCTCAGCACCGCTCCTTGGATAACCAAACCTATGCTCAAATCCCATCTCTGTGGGTTTATTTCCTGGTACCCTTCCTAGCATCAATTGTGTATTTCTAGGAGCCCAATCAGAAAATATAAAACCACTCAAAAGTTTAAACTGAATGGGTACGGTGGCTCACACCTGTAATCCCAGCACTTTGGGAGGCCGAGGCGAGTGGATCGCTTTGAGCTCAGGAGTTGAGACCAGCCTGGGAAACATGGCGAAACCCTGTCTCTACAAAAAGCACAAAAATTAGCCAGGCGTGGTGGCACATACCTGTAATCCTAGATACTTGGGAGGCTGAGGACAGAGAATTGCTTGAGCCTTGGAAGTGGAGGTCGCAGTGAGCAGAGATTGTGCCTCTGCACTCCAGCCTCGGTGACAGACTGAGACCCAGTACCAAAAAAAAAAAAAAAAAGTAAATTTAAAATAAAAAGTATTAATTATAACACAGGATCAGCATAATGAGTGACACACTAGCACAAACTACAGACAACTCTGGAGAATACAAAACTAGCAGAGGCCAGGCATGGTGGCTCATGCCTGTAATCCCAGCAATTTGGGAAGCCTAGGTAGGAGGACTGCTTGAGGTCAGGAGTTGGAGACCAGGCTGGGCAACTTAGTGAGACCCTGTGTCTACCAAAAAAAAAAAATTAGCCAGCTGTGGTGGTGGTGCACACCTGTAGTTCCAGCTACCTGGGAGTCTAGGGTGGGAGGATCCCTTGAACCTGGGAAGTCTAGGCTGCAATGAACCAAAATCATGCCACTACACACTAGCCTGGGTGACAGAGTGAGAACCTGTTTTATGGGAGGGGAGGGGAGGGGAGGGGAGAGGAGGGGAGGGGAAGGGAGGGGAGGGGAGGGGAGGGGAGGGGAGGGGAAGGGAGGGGAAGGGAGAATGCTAATTCCTCTATGAGAATCTCCTCTTCTCCTGCCCTCTCTGGAACCTCACTTGTCAGTTCTTCCTCCCACCTCCCTGTATCTTTAACCTATCCCCCGCTTTTAGCTCCTTCCTACCAGCATTTAAATTACTCAAACTTCTTCTATTTTAAAAAACTCTCCCTAAACTCAGTGTGTCCCCTGCTTTAGGTCTCCAGCACACCCACTGAGCCATCTGCTCCCCCTGGTGCCTTCTCCATACAGCAGCCTGAGCCATGTCTCTAATACATGAATCTCATCACGTTACTCCCCTGTGTACATCACTCTTTGGGATTAAGTCCAAACTCCTTAACAGCCCCTGCTCTAGCCTGCCTTGCAAGGCAGCCTCACTGCTTACCCCTCTCCATTTTACCTGCTATGGAGTCCAGCTGAGCCTCATCTGCCCCCTGAATGCCAACTCTCTCCCCTCTGGGAGCCTCTGAAGTGGGTGATGCCCTCTGCTTAGAATACGCTTCCCCTTAAACCTCTACTCTCTTCCTGGCTAGCTTGGCTCCTCTGTCACTTGTCCGTTTTAGCACCACCTCCTCCTGGAAGCCTTCCTTGACTCCCCTGATTCTCAGGAGCACGGGAAGCGAGGTGCTCCTCCCAAAAATGAATGGAGATTAGGGAGTGTGTGTTATTCATGTTTAATTCACCAGTGCTTAGTTCAGTACCTGGCACAAAATAGTCA